GATGTGATATGCCAGCTGGAGATCTCTCTTACACTAAAAAGTTTATAGCCTTTCTGTCAAACAAAAGGGACAATCGGTAGGTGAAAATTAACTTCCAATCCACAATACCACAGATCTGAAGTTGGGTGCACCTGTAATGCACAATTATAGCACTCTACCCAAGTAACAATTTCTCTGACAGCTTCTGCTACAGCTTAAAGAGCAGAGAAGCAATCTGGGTCACAAAATCATATTCAAATGCTGAGAGTAAATTACCTAACTGCGTAACGCTGCCACCATGCCATCTTCTCCCTCAGGAGAAAGTGCTTTACAGCAAGTAAAGCAGCGAATCCCTCTTTTAAATACATCCTTTAACATTCTTTAAATTTATTACATTTTAATTAAAGTCATAGGACTTTGTTTAAATAAGTTGAAAACCTCAGGTTGGCAGCCAGAATATCTTATTTATAAGAACTCAGAGGTCTTGGATTCCCATATTTGGATTATGTTGCTTTAATTTATTTATTTTTCCAATTAAAAAGTTCTCACTGCTCATGCATTTTTTATTCCCTCATGCGCTGTTCTATCAGGAGAAACATAAAAGAAGCAGACAACATGTTTTTTCAGTTGGAGACTACTTCCTAGCCTGCTCCAGTTTTATAATCTATTCTCTTATGCTCTTACCAACACCCTCCATCAAACAGCTAAGAGTATCCATCAAAACCACAGGCTGTATTCATAGTAAAAGGCACTCCAGCACATATTTTCATTGGAAAGCATTAATTTTCACTGGAAAGTGCCTTTCTCCCTTTCACTTCTGCAGAGTTCAAGTAAAGGAATACTGATACCGTCTGAACAGGTGAGTACCTTTGTAGCAATATGGCTGATGAGAAATAAACCAATAAAAATACAAAGCAAGCACCTTTTGAGCTTACCTCCCCAGATTAATTAGACACACTGCGAACAATTTGGAATTTTTATTTCTTAAATAAATTGTCAATAAATACATTTTGATACAGTACCTACCACCTCTTAAATTGTTGGCTCCGTGCAATTCCCTCGCTCTTCTCTTAGCACTACTAGATGTAACATTTTTCTGCGTTGTCACTGTTGTAGGGGGCAAACATTGCAGCGGACAGTCAGGTACCACGGGCAACATCACAGGCTCTACAGCTGAAACTAATTCCCAGTAAAGCGAAGACAAATGCCAGCTCTCGTAGGACTACGGCAGCCTCCTGGGCTTGCAAATCTCCTGACAACGCAGGTATGTACAGCAGGATCCTTTACTTCTACTCCCTGAAGAGGCCAAATTTGGGAAGGTGCATGGCAGAGTTTATTTCATTATATATTAACCCTTTAGTGCCACAGGTTATTTAAGGACCCTCTGACAATGACACAGTTGCTCTAGCTTAACCAAAACACTCACCAGAAAGCCCTTGACAACCCCCTTTTCCTAGAGTAGGGGAGCACACATCCTATACGTAACCAATATTTTGAAACAAGATTTGTTCGCCACTAGTGGACTCAGCATCGGAGACACAAGGAAATTAACAGCAGCGTACTTAATTTCCATGTTACTTCCAGCACAAGTTTTACTTGTGCATCCGTTGTACATTCATAATTAATATGGTCTTTTCATTTTTCTAAGCTTTCTGAACCTTACTAGAATGTTAAAAGCACGTCAGCAAGTACACCCGCTGCTTATTATGCCAGTTGTCTGAGATGTATCCCTGGCTAGAGGTTACCGCCTAGGCCCAGCACAAAGGCTCTCAAAGTCAGCGAGAAGAGTCCAGTGACACTCAACAGGTTTTTAGTCTGGACTCTAATGTATCTTCCTGTGTCAGCAGCTCCAAGCTCTAGCATCAAATTCAGCTACAATTCTTACTCCTTGTTCTTGAAGGAGCATCAAAAGGAGCAAGTACGATGCAGCAGGAGCTGATTTCAAAAGGACATGCACTTGAGCAAATATACCTCCTTTGATACGTATGCCTCCCCCACCATATTACAACTCTTTAGAACAGGGACAATTATACTGTTTTAAAGATGACTCTTAAAAGCACTAAAAGCTTTTACCAGTTCTCGAGTACTTTTCCCTAACCTATCCAGGTCTGAAAAACAAAGTCAACTTTGAATTCAATCCAAAAGACAATCAGGTACCAAATGTCAAAGCAATTTTACAAATCAGAGTTATGTGGGTGATAAAGCTGGGAAGAATAAAAGTCGATTCGACTATCTGTTTACAAATTAAAAGTTTCATCTCCAGTGCTTTCTGATCTACTGCAGTTTTTGGAGGCCAGAGACTAGCTTTGGGTATCAATACGAATCCTGCAGCAAGGTTCTGTTGTGGCTGGATATTTTTCCCAATGCAAACACTTTCAACGCACCCTCAGATACAGGTTAACTTTAATAACACTGCATTCACAAATCACTCACTCAGAATAGCCTTCCAAATGTATAACATATTACCGTAGCCCTAAACAGAAGGAGTAATGCATTTATGCAAAATCATGTGTAACTGTAAGGAAGCAATGTTGCAACCCCCTTAAAGAAATCCAGTGGGAATCCAAGGAGATTTAATTTTTTTGGTCAATTTCTTTCCTCTTTGCTTTGTGGTTTGTTTTTTTTTTACAGGGGAAAGAACAGTAAGTAAAAAGCACAGAACTTCTTGAACTAAATAGGTGCGTTCCAAGCTAAATTCTTGTTCTGATGACACCGAATCTCTGCAGGAGGTGGGACAGGTGAATCTATTGACTGCAGTCGTATTCTCTTTCCCTGTGACTGACTTGTTCAATTAAGTCCGCAGAAGTATCGCTTCTCATTAGGCATCCTGAACTCTGCTGAGAGCCAGCGACACCACACTAGCCTAAAATGGTGACATTTACCTGTAAAGCCTACAGCTCTCAACACTGGATTCTGTGTGTACTTTCAGCTGCAGCTTTCCTAACACTAACATGAGGAAGGCTCAGGATTTTCAGCAGCGCTCAGAAGTACCCCTCATTGGCTTGTTTTTCATTTTCGCATCTTTTGACATTTATTGTAGTGTCATCAGGAAATGCTAGTGCAAAGATGAACAAGATGTTGAGTCCTCTTCTGAGTGCAAAGACGTAGGGAGTTAAGATATACTAAAGGAAACTGTAACACCAACATTCACAAAATTCACTAATTCACTGAACAGAGATGCTACAGCTGAGTCAGGGGCTTAAAGACTTCCTTTTTTTTTTTTTCTCTCTCCATTTAAACTTCTACTATGATCTGCCCTCAAGTCATGCTTTCAAAACTATTCCCATTACTTTTCCACAGTTGTTGTCATAAACTACCACAAATTCACAGCCAAATAGAGGCATTTAGGTATGGATTTATGCTGGGAGCAGCCTTGACATGTACCACCTTAAGGGAAACCCTTAGATGGATCAGCGCTGTTTAGGGCTACCTGACGGAGATGACTATACACATTTATCACCTCATACGACAGCACAGCTCATTCTGTAATTGTATTTATCTATTACTGCCTGTTGCTGTAAAGAAAATCAGGTCACAACCATGACTCTGTGCAGCTCTCTTGTCCCCGGATAGACTTCTCCACCAGGCAGGCTTTTTGTGTTGTCTTCCTTTCGCATTGTGTGCAAGAAGGCAGCCAGCAAAACAATCTGCTAAAAACCACATTTCCTGCTCATCAAAAAAAAAAAAAAAATCCCAGGAGATAATGAAGAACCTGTCCCAAACCCCAATATGTCAATAAACAAACAAAAAAGTATACTGTTGTAAGCAAAGAAATAATATAACAGAAACAAATAATGGTAAGATAAATAAATCAGATGACTGAAATGAAGACGATCTTTACAAATTGTAGATTTCATGCCTCAGTGAAATTAAAATTGCTCTAAACGTTTAATTGCTTATAGGGTCCAAATAAAAGGATTCAATAAGCAACCTTCCTTCAGATTAGATTTTTACTGTCAGTAGTTAATGCAGTTGCAGAAAATGGTTGTAACTTTCTTCTCGAAACAGTATCTCATAATTACTTTGGTCAAAATTAACACTTTTTCAAGTGTTCCCATACCGCATACTCCCATAATACATAACTTTATTCTGCACGCCTGAACAAAATGAAGACTTTAAAAAGAAATGTCTGCTACCATCACTCTATCCATTTAAGTGCCACAATTCCAAAATGCATATGCTCATCTTCTCACTGAAAGGAAAGGATATTTTTTATATTCATTTCAGTGCAAGAAGACACAAAAGCAGTGGATCATTGTCCTCATTCCTAAAGACTATTTTGAAGGTCCCGATTTCAAGTTTTCTGAGTTTCCTCATCAACTGCTAAGTTAGCAAAAGTCGAAGTCTTCAATACGTTGTGAGATCAATTCCCAAGGGGAGAGAGATTCTAGGGAAGAGAGAGTCTAGGTTTGCTTCTTTTTATTCCTTGAAATCCTGACAATCTGCCATCTTGCAGTCTTCACAACTTTTAAAGGGAAAAAAGCGCAATGACAGACAGAATACCCTTCAGAAAATAAAAAGCACCAGTTCTAGACATGCAAAAAGAAGCTTCCAGGTTTCTCAGAAGTTTCCAAGTGGGGCAGCGGGTGGAAAAATTAGTAAAAAGTGCATTCCTTGTTTTCCTAAAATAAAATTAAAATGCCGCTGACATATCTATCTATTCTTCAAGTCTTCAGGTATGCTGAGTGGAGCGGTTCACAACAGAACAGACTGCGCACCAATCTATCACACTTAAATGCAATCACAGTCAAACATAACAACAGCTAGTGCCTAAACTACAGAGATGCATTTAATACTCCCCAGTCAGCAATCAACCTTTTCCACATTTGTTCATAACCACAATGAATCGTTTCTTTTTAATGCTTTGTTTTCCTTTTGTTATCCCGTGGCAGTTTACCATGCTTTTTAAATAAGGTATTTAAAAACAAACAAAAAAAAATCTCCTTTTCCAATTTTATTCCTGTGTGTAAGTAGAGAGCATTTTTTTTAAGAAATATAAATTACTGAACATATTTTCTTACCTGTTGCAGTCCACGTGGAGCAGAAGGTGGGACGCACTAAGTGACACGGCAATCTTGTGCCACTGTCCATCTGCCAGACGGTACGGGAACACCTCTGTTCTTGACTTCCCATTAAACCTGTAGTGATATCTAATCTCATCCCGCAGGCCACTGCTCTCCAGTTCAAAATAGCTGTATTTAAAACATGAAGAAGAATCAGTTCCATTTTTTGGTTTATTCATTGCTTCTGTCACTTTCTTCTTAATTCATAGACTTCTTTAAGCAAACACCACATGGAAGGTCACAATCTAAAGGGGTTACTCAGCATGGATTAGCAACTAGTTTATTTTTTAAAAGAGGTGGAGAGACAAGACTATACATTCAGCGCATTACAAAAATAGCAATACCATTTAGGCAAAAACAGCTCACGTTCAAAACACCATTTGATAGTCCTGGAAATTGAGGTCCTCTTTTTACCCATAGAAGAGGTTAAACTACAAGAATAACGATCCTTATTCTTTTCACCAAAATGTTTTGTATGAACATAGGATTTTAGGAAATGCAAAAATAAAGAGCTGTACATATCATTACCAACGAACAAACAAAAAGCCATTAAGGTATGAAAGCGCCAGGCAATCATTACATTCGTATTTACTATTTGCAAATCCACTTTTTAAAAAACTGTTTACTTTTAGGACTCCCCTACATGCAATTGTGCTTAACTCCTTTTCTGACTTTTATTGTTACAGCTCTAATTGTTCAGCTTTACAAGGGAACAAAACCTCCTGGCTGGATTAGGTGTCTCAACACCTGGCATACACAATCAAAACCTTCAGACAGTTGTCACCAGAGAACAGTCACGGGAGAGCTAACAAAGTACGGCTATTAACTGGCTTCATGCCGGCGGGAGGAGCCAGTTCTTCTTCTAGGGCGAATTTAGCCCTAACAGGTGGTAGCACGTTGACAGTGTAAATAGTGAAGCCTTCTCTCGGACCTCAGATCACACAGAGTATTTACAGCACATCAAATCAAGGCTCTCTTTTTCCCGCTAAAATGAAGCCCTGGCTATAGAAAGGAGACACACACCTCCTCTTATAGTAGAAAGAACTCTACAACTAAGTGCAGACGTTAGGTTGTCCAGCTGGTCCCTACCCACGTCTGCCTCCACAGGGTCATGTTTTTCCCTGCTGGACAATGCCAATTTAACATGGCAGTTGAAAGACGTGTGCTAGTTTAGGGTTAAAAAAAAAAAAAATCACAGTAGTGAAATTCACTTCCAAAAATAAATGCAACACACAAAAAATAAGTATCCAGGTGCCGATTTTCATTTTCGCACAAGCCTTTTACACTGCTCGGCTGTACACAGACCTTAAAAGCCAGTGTGCACAAGCGTTACATGAGGTGTGTGCACTTCATCAAGAATAGCTCTTACCAGTGAAGTGGAGGCTTTTTAGAACATAAAAACTGAAAACCAGAGTTCTTTGGGAGGAACTTACTTATGAAATAAAACGCTAGCTGGGAATCTGCGCAAAAGATCGCAACAGACCGGGAAGGGGAACACCAAGACAACAAATCTTGACCAAAAGAGAAACTCAAACCCTGCTCCATCCTGCCAATGCCTTGCCATTACTTTTCTCATGCAACATATGAGCATTATCAGGTCACCCGAATCAAAGACTCAAGTGGCAAAGTAAAAACGGTCACAGGCAGATAAAGGCAAAACCAAAACAGAATGGAAACACAGCAGGCACACGTACAAATAAAATACATGCAGTACAGAGTGGGAAAAAAATTAGAAAGGCCGGTGTTGTGAAGGAACTGGCCTGCTTCATGGACAAGGAGGGCAGAGAAGCAGGAGTTTCCTAAACAGGAGAGCAGAATGTTGATTAACAACTACCACCCTCCATTAAAATACCTCGATTACATTCATCAGAAATCTGGAGAGGATTTTTTTATTATTTCATTTTGATGCTCAGTAAAGAGCACAGTCAATATACAGAACATACTGCTGCTGGTGCTTTCAAGGCAGGAAAGCACTAGGACAAGTACTGTCAGTGAAGTCATACTCACAAAGTTAAACGTTTCATAATTGCCATCTGCTGTCAAAGCACAAAAGGAAGTCATTAAAGAGACTTTCTCTCTTGTTCAGATAAACAGCAGTGAGGCAGAAAACTTCAAAAAAAAATGAGGGAGAGCTACATAACATTCTAGTATCCCTCTCACACCCAAAGTATTTGTGTGTGTGTGTGTGTGTGTATATATATATATTTACATGGTTGATCATAGAAGCTTAAGAGCCTGAGAACAAGACAAGCTCCTGTTGCAGAAAGCACATCGCTTCCTGCAGTCATTCATCTTTTCTCATAGCCACAGAGACAATGGCTTACTACACAATGTTTTATTTGTTAATAACACGGCAACAGTCCAGCCCTGGAAAGGTCAGTCAGATACTGTACTTAATCACATCTCTGCTCTATTATTTGAACAGCATAGGGAATTGCGAAGCAACGCAGTTTCTCATCTGACAAGCTTTAGTGTCAATAGTTACTTCAGGACTAAAAACAGCTTGTTGCTTACGCACCGAGTTCGTTGTCAAGCTCCTGACTAATTTATATAATACAGAAGTGACTAGTTAAAATTTACCGTAAAAGCCAGTACTAACATTTTTATATAGGTACACCTAATGCACTGCTAAGTGCCACAGGACTGTATAAAACACCATGGTTTACCTCCTGAGTGACAGGAAAGGAGGATGACAGCAGACAAATTCTGCACCAATTTTTCACCACTCTTCAACAAGTGCAAATCAGAAGCAGTTATGCTCAGACAAACATCAGTAAACAACAGTCAACAAAATCCCAAGAGCGGAAACTGGCTGGATTAGCCCAACATATATCTATCTCAAGTACTTAAAAAACACAAGGCAATGTAAACCAACACTCTCGCACTTTTTTTTTTTTTAAAGATGCACAAATTCATATCGAGATCTTGACTACACATACACTTTATTGTGTTCACAGTTCAGAAGATGTAGTTGTCTCTTCTCTACCAGAATATAATTCATGTGCAAATAGCTTTCTCAATAGCCAACATAATCTTATCTTTCCTCCTCCCACCAGACTCTGGAGGAAAGCCTCTTCTCTCGCACTTTTTTTTTTTTTAAAGATGCACAAATTCATATCGAGATCTTGACTACACATACACTTTATTGTGTTCACAGTTCAGAAGATGTAGTTGTCTCTTCTCTACCAGAATATAATTCATGTGCAAATAGCTTTCTCAATAGCCAACATAATCTTATCTTTCCTCCTCCCACCAGACTCTGGAGGAAAGCCTCTTCAAAAGCAATGACATAAAGGCCATTCGCTCCTGGAAATAAATGCGCCTGCTCTGTGTTCAAGTTCTAACCTGCAAATTGTGGAATGGAAGACAAATGAGTGGAAAAACATAAGCTTAGGCAAGAAATCATCAACCTGTGAGAAAATAATTAGTAAAGCCGGAGAAAATAAATGGATTTTTTTTTTTTTTTTAATATCTAGCTCATCTTTGACTTGAAATGCCATTGCACAGGTTCTTATCTACTATAAACCAACAGGTATACAACAGGGGGGAAACTAACAGAAGCTACCGTACAAGAGGCAAGAAAATGAACTAATCTCTAACAGGTCTTTTGTAGGTACTTCCCAGTGTTTTGTGAGGAAGAAGAAAACATAGAACAGAATGAGTCAGGATTCCTGAAAGGATTGCAGCATCTGGGACCGCCTGAATAAATGTATCATCAGTAGGCAAGTGTGAACTGTCAGTGTTGCCATGAGATCCTTATCAAAAGCCCAAGGGAGATCCCCGAGTATTACAACTAGTTCTGCTTCTGCGTCACATCTGCATGAAGCCTGTGTGTCAACTTGCCGCTACAGTTAGCCCCCTGCTACCCTCCTCAAGACCTTTTCCAAGGGAGAGATGTGAGACAGTAATCTACTTGTCAACTTATTAGCACCGAGTGATGGTTTCTTGTTTTATTTGTCATTTCTCGATGAGGATTTTTTTTTTATATTTTTTAAGCAGACGTGATCAAAAGTAACATGCATTTTGACAGATGAAATCCTCAGAACACATGTATTAAGAAAGCTCGCTGTTTATGGAACAGCAATACAATATGACCTTGGCTGAAATTTTCCCACTACTAGAATTTCCATATTTGCTAAGCATGTAAGCTACTGCTGGCTTCTTTTATACGATTATAGAATTCAAATGCTTTTTATAGGTCTGTCCGCAGTCTCTCGTTCAAATCCCAACGTGTAAGAGAAAAACAGGTTGCTAAATTCAGATTAATTTTATGCACATCAAAAAAGTTGCGATATTTTAAGATCACGCAACGTGCTTTACAGGACAATACTATTCCACAATCAACTCAAGATGCTTTACAATTCTTTCTGACAACTTCTTTAATCCCTATGTACTTCACGCACAAATATTTGTATGAGAGGATAAAGCCTGACTCAGTTCTGTTTAATGCTTCCCACCGCCACCCCCCTGCCCTTCTTTTAGTCACAACCATAGTGAATATTTGACTGCGCATTTGACAGCTCATTTCACTTACAGATCAGGAGAAAAAGGTGCCTAAAAGTATACTTTAAGTTGGAAACAGCTGCTGTGGATATAACGACCAACAAAATTGGAAAAGTCATTATCAACATTAAATAAGAACATGTAAGACACCTGAAGCAGAAAAAGCAAAGTATTTCTATAAGGTCAGTTGCCTTAATCCACCATCTGCGTTAAAGAAACACATTCATCTATTCATCACATCAACCACAGCAGCGATCTTAACCTGTGACAAACACCACCACGTTTCATTCAAAGATTTTACTGCCGTCAGGTCGTGGAAGCGGCCAAAGGAGGGAGGGCTCACAGACTACAAATAAGATACAACCCCAAGACGACCTCTGGGATACATGTCCTTCTGAATATCCCTAGTGTATACAGCACTTTTTTTTTTTCCTTATCTTTACGAAGCTAACACCTATCACAAGACACTAAAATATCCCGCAATGAAGACAGGGCACCATCTGGTAAGCACAATACTGATTAAACGCTCCGATAAGAGCTCCAAGACCTAAAGCAAAACTACTTTTTGCATTCAGTTCTGGAAATCTTCCCCTTCATCACGTTCAAACATAAATAAAGCAGAGTTA